TCAAAGCATTATGAACCTTGAAAAGAAGTGGGAGAAGCTTATATGCTACAATAGCTTGTAAAGGGCATAAGTAAAGTCTTCAAGCTGTATTCCAAGAGATGCTCAGCAAATATCAGCTTCAGAGCTGCTTCACAAAAAAAGCTGTATCTTTAGAGAAAGAATTGTTTGGGCAAGGCCTCATGAAAGCTGCATGCTGTCACTGTTCCTGTTCCTTGGGAACATAAACAGGATCTAGGGACAGCTTGTGCAAGAAAACAGTTGGAATAAGGAATATCATGGTTTTCAGCAGCCAACTTGATTACCATCATCGCCCCTGCGTAGGAGGAAAGCTTCAAGAGGTATTTAGAAGGATGCTGGGTCCCACCTAACTATAACAGAACTACCCATTAAACTCCTAAACATTGGGAGTCCAGGTCAGATCCTAAGTGCAGTTACAGAGACCAGCTCTTCTGTGGGTTGAGAAGTTCAGCTTCTCATGTGCTTTCACAGCTGGGCTTCTCAAGTGCTTGTTGCTAACTCTGTTATCAGGAGGAATAAATGAGGGGGGTGGACTGTGCTGTTAAGGGATCCAACATGTTTAATAGGTTTGAGGGCCCTTGTGGAGAAATTGCATCCAGTACCTGTTTCCAAGTGACCATTAGAGTGGATTGTGCATTGCAGCTTTTATACAGTTGATTCTCTCTAACTTTTTGAAAGTGAGATTTCAAGGAGTCCTAGTCTTCGCCCAAAGGCAGGTTTTATCATACCTGAACAAAAATAGTTCAGATGCTTTTGGGGATGTGGGGTGTGTGTGACTTGCAGCCAAAAATACATCTTATTCCTGATTAAAATGCTTTTCTAGCTGAAACAGCCATGGTTTGGAAATTAAAATTTGTAATGGGTGTCATCTTCTCTGAGAAAGTAAACTTGAAGGATGAATGCCATGAGGAAGACAAAAATCTCAGTGGGTGCTCATCTTTGCAGTGAACCAATAACAGATGGAGATTTACAATTTTGACAAAGAAACCTTCAATCTCCTGTTGTCCATTCCTGCAATGGGAGGAACCCTTGATCCCAGCACAATGCTGTAGATTGTCCTCTGCTCCCATTCTGCCAGATTACAAAGCCACCCAGGTTTCTCCCATCAACAGCCCTGTGACTCTGGTTTGAGCCACAAATGGCTATGAGTTTGAAGGCAGAGCTGGAAATAACCTAAATTCCAGCATATTTTTGACAGTGTAGTAGGAGCTCCTGTTCAAACTTTTTTGGAGGATTTTTCAAGCACTGCTATTACTTTTTTTTTCTTTTTTATTCTCTCCACTCAGGACAAGGAACAGGTGACAAAAGTAAAGCTGTTTATAGAGAGTTAATACCAACTAAAGTGCATTCACCTAAAAAAAAGCAGTAAAGTAGTGCCATATCTGTGTTAATAAGATTTGCTCTTTTGTTTTACCAGTGAACATGAACAGAGCATTGTGCTGGTGTGTCTATACTGGTTCCAATTCCAGAGTTTGTATATTTGTTGCTAGATGAGATACCTGTACAATTGAGTTTCCTTTTTCATTTCTGTGACACAATTGTTCTGGGCCATATCCTAAGTAATTATTTAGATTCTGAAATTGGATTGAGGTTTCTTTTCTGGCCCATGAGTATATTTGAATATTCTCTTCAAGGTAAAGGGCTTATTTTTTTGTTTGTGTGTGTCCATTTGTCTCCCAGTGCCCTCCCTTTCCCTCATTACCTGGTTGTTGAAGACAAGTTCCTTAATATTATCAATGAGGTTTTTTTCTTGAGTAAGGACATTAGTATTTTACCTTCTTTGAATAGTTACTTGTGGCAGTGGCTTCATTGTTGATTTCTAGTTCAAGAAGTGAGCTTGAAAAAGATCAGTTGACTGAGGTTGTAATTTCTATATCTAGATATTTCTAAAGATATCAAAAAGTGTTTTATTGTATTCTCCTCTAGTCTTCCTTCTCTTCGTAACTAATCAGCTATGTATGACTCTAACTGACCTGCTCCAGCTGACTTAAGGTACTCAAGGAAAATCAATGCTTTACAGATATGGAACTTCTTTATTGCTAAGAGTTTGCAGAAGGCTGACATCTTCTGAAATGTTTCCTGATAAAAAATTACATGTTTTTCCCTTCCCTTTAATTTTTTAGATTGAAGGAATCTGATTCTTATCAAAGTGGGGAATTAGACCATAACCGTGGGTCAGGCAAAGTAGAGTCATGCAAGTCATGGAATATTGCTAATGAGCTTCAGTCATTGTAGAATTGGTAGCTTTCCTCTCACAGTTTTCACACTCTGCATAGGCTTTATGGCAAGAAGGAATTGCGAGAAAGCAAATGAAACCTGTTTACCTTCTGATATTTGTTTTTAAAGCCTTTACTAAGAGGCAACACTTGCCTTTTTTTTAACACTTTTTAACACTCATGTGCCTCATTCCTGACCTGTCATACTCCTCATTCTTGCAATTCCAGCTCTTGGGCTTCTCTCAAGCAGAAGTTCATTGACTGTTCTTGAGCCATGCCTCTTTTCTTTCCACAAGGGGATTAGGGCACCCCTTTCACTTAACAATCATGATCTCCTGCCCCACAAGTGTTATGCATCCTCACCTGTGCACAGGAAGGCAAGCTCTTACAGAGAGCTTTTTCTGAGGCTCTATTTCTTGTATTAGAAGAATCACAGTACGTGCTAAGTATGCCTCCCTTGAGGAGAGGGACCACTTTATCTGCAGGCACTGTGTCCTCAGGCTGACTTACAGAGTGATGCCAAACGTTGCATTCTCTCCTTTCCAATCAGAAGAACGTGAGCTAAAAACCACTAGGAAGATACACTGAAGAGCAATTGTCAGGATTGTGCCCAGCATGGGAAGGAGGTGCTGTGACTTTGTGCTTTGACAGGAGACACCCATGTGTTTCCTCATTCTCTAAAAAAAAATTGAAAATTTTGGACAAAATTCACTGTGGTGAAGTCCATGCACCCATTTATTCCTATTTAGGTCATTGGAATAGGGCTTCAGTGGTGCAGTCTCTATACTGGCTCTCTACACAGGAATACATTTCACCCTCAGTGAATGCTCTTTGTTTTCTCAGCTGAGGTCAGTTTTTCATTGCATTCATTAGAAGAAATAGCTTTGGATTTTAAATACTGCTGCCCCTCTCCTTCCCTGCCAGCAAGCCAGCATTACAGTCCTGAAGATGTTAGAAAAGGGGTAAATTTGGAAGGGGAAGAAAGTGAAAGAAATGGAAGTTCAGAGGCTGAAACTGTTATCCCATATGTGGCGCTTGTGCTGTTGCCTGCTGCTGATGACTTACCAATTTTTTGCCTGGATTTCTTCACTGTTTGTCTACCTTATTAGATGTCAGTCAGGAGAAAGAAGGAAAGTTGCTTGATATAAGGTTGTCTAAAGGAAGAGGAGCAGAGGAACATGCATGTCAGGTGGTTCTTTCAGGAAAAATTTCATCCAAACCTATAAAGGTTATCTTGTGGCAGCATCATCCTAGTGCCTCTGTCAGGGGTCTCTCATTCACTCAAATGCTCAAGAATTGTTTCTGGTTTCCTGTTCTGTCCCCGTCTGTGCTTTCTGTTTTGCCTCCTGCTCTTCAATACCTCTGACCTTGACAGACTGGAAAACTTAAACCTGCAGAGAAGTTTGTGAGCTCATTTTTGTTTGTGGTATTGGTGTGTGTATGAACATGTTTGTGTGACAGTATTTTGTCTGGTATGGTGCATTTTATTTTAAAGATCCATAAGGATGGATTGAGAAGCCTCATATAACACTGACATCTGAGGAATTGTATTTTTACTTATGGGAGAACAAAGTAAAATTACACTTAGGAATTGCTCCCAGCCTGTGGTACATTTAAAAACAGTATTAGATTTGCATCTGGGATTTATTTGACCATCTCTTTGAGTGTGCTGCTGGTAAGGAGAATAGCTTTGACTTTGAATGGGGTAAATTAGGCAAGTTCTGCTGTCACCTTTTAAAAATAAAATTTAATGAAGTTTTGATTTGTTCCTTTAATGAGTCATTGGTACATTGTATGTGTCTGTGTATACTGCTGTATGGTTTGTTATTACGAGGCCAAATCCTGACAACTTATTGCAAAATTGTTTTAATTTATTATTAATATTTTTTGTTTTTCTCGTTTCTCCTGGTTTTGGAGCCTTTATAATTAGATATAATTAAAACCACAGGTTTCAAAATCCAGTCTTACATTTAAACTCATATTTATGGTACAACCCCTGGAGTTTTATTGTCATTCTAACTATTTCAACTGCATTTTGAAAAAAAATATTTTTTTGCATCTGTTCGAATGCTGTGTCTGCAGCTATCACTTCTTAATCATCTGTTTTGCACAGTAATGTGACATTTATTTTACATGATAAGAAACCACGCAGTTTTATAGATGAGCTATTTCATATCCCTTAACAAAGGGTTGCAAGGGACTTTTTGCCTTGTACACTTTAAAAACAGCTTTACTCTTTTTGAACTTGTCTTCCTCTGCTTCCCCATGCAACAGTCTGAAGTGCTGCATGCTGTAGAACGAATTTGTAAAAAATGTTGTTGGCTGGCATTCTGTAAAACCATATTTTCCCTTTTGGTGCGTATGTTCTGGTCCTAGCAATGTCCTTGTTTTGCTGAAATTAACATTTTTATCCTCACAGTCTTTGGTATGTGGTGGTGTTTTTCTGTCTTTTTTAATTGTGGGTTTTGTTTTTTTTTTAAATTAGTATAAGGTTGATTGTTAAAATTAAGTGGCAGAAGGCTTCCTTCCAAATTATTCAGAGATCTTTTGCTGAAGAAATATATTTTTCTACTCTCAATTGCTTTTTTTCCCTTTTTCTTTCATTGCAAACTACTCTGGGAAGAGCTTCTTTTAACAAAAAAAAAAAGGCTACGCTTGACTGATAATGCATTGCTTTGGATGGTGAAACATTATGAAAGTTTAATTTTTAATTAAATCTGAAATACCAATTATAACTGAAAGAGATTTTAACCTGTTTCTTTTCAGACTGCCTGAAGTTACATTGTAGATGCTGAAATCACTGCACCTTAAAAACAAAAAGATTAAGCCACACTGCATTCCTGTAAGTAAAAGCTTTTCCGGTACCTTTTGTCCGTATTTTTCCTCTATATGCATCCAAAGTGTTAGCACAGTAGCTGGTCTTGGATAAAGGTCAGAATCCCCTTGAATGGGATTTAGAAGTTCAAAGGATGTTTTATTTAAAAATTAAAAAGGAACTTACATCTTGCAGATCTTTAATTTCAGAGCACTGAATAGATCATTCTTTCTGCTTTGTTTTGAATGGTATTAGGAATACTGTGCATCTTTGTTGACTTACAGTTGCTGTCGCTTTGTCAGAGAGGATTTCTGCACGCTGGTGCAGACATAACAGAAAGTAGCAGAAGATTCCTTGTAGCACAAAATACAGTTTATTCTCTTCTCATGATATCATAACAAATTCTTCTCCTTTGTATGAGAAAAAAACAAACAACTTTCTGATGACATCACAGGGGACTTTAGCTGCTTTAGGGTGCAGATGAAGGCAGAAATGCCTAATTCATCTCTGCTGTGACGCAACAAAACAGTCAAAATAACATCTATGTCTCAGCAAGAAAGGAGTATTTTTCTAAGAGCATAGTTATTCCATAAATGCAAGTCAGATTGCACATCACTCTAAGTCTCCTCTTATTTAGAATCTGTTTATTGAATGTATTTGGGTTAATAATTAAGATTTGGAACTTCAGTGACTTAACAACAGACATGCAAAAGAAGATTGGAAAATATAGCAGATTCAGATACTCTTAATTAAATGAAATAATAGATTAAAAAAATCCAGAAGCTTGTAGAAAGAAGGAAAAAGATCGATTTCAGTCGAACAGTACAAAGCTGTGGAATATTACAAAGCAAAGTCAGTTTGTTTTCTTGTTTAAGATCAAAATGTGCAGTCTCTAATGAAATCCAGAGCCTTCTTCCAAAGTGGTACTTTCATACTTCAGTTTTAAAATATTTTAACTATTAGAGGGGATTTATCATGCCTTTACCACCACACCCCTCAGCCCCTTTTTTTAATATATTTTAATGTTTTATTGTAAACTAGCTGGAAGGTACAGTTACACTGTGGGCAGCTAAAGCCTTCCCCTCCAGCACACAGCGCCAAGCATGACTCAGACAGGCAGATTGTGCCATTCTGGCTCTACTCCACTGTGTTTTTACATTACTGGCAAGGGCCATGCCATTGTGTTGTTTAAATATTGTGTATTAACTGCAGGCTGTGGCCAGTGAATGGTATTTAACATTTTCTGCTCTTCATTGCTGAATGTGAGCAGCTTCCCTGGCCACCAGAGGTTAACCTTGCAATTACACTGGTGAGCCGAGTTGAGAACAGTCATGGGTTTCCTGGGTCCAGCAGCAATTTAAAGGGAGGTGTTCAGGGAAAAATGGGGGAACTCTTCTGAATCTGTGAGTAGCAAATTTCATGCTTGTCTTGCAATTTAGTGTGAACAACCAGGAAAATTTTTGTTGGAAAGCAGGAGTAATTCTCTTTCCAAAATGCAGCAGCAGTGTAAGAGTGAATTAAGGCAAGTTCTTTGAATCCTTAGGATCCAGATGGTCACTAAGTCCTGCATGGAGAGCCCAAGACAAAATAAGAGTATCAATTGGTGCTGGCTGGGATAAGTTTTTTTTAGTTATATGAGGCTCTAGATTTTGAAGGGAAAATAAATACGCAAGTGTAAAATTCATGTTCAGAAAATATTTTTGCTTTCCTTTTTTTATCAAAAGTGTCAAGTGCATTCACACAGAGATGTTGAGCAGCTTTCTCAAGGTCCAAGTAAATCAGTGGTCAAAGTGGGAATGGAGAGTGGGATCATGACTCCTAAGACTGTTCTGCCAAGGTCTTCTTTCCATTCCATGAAGTAAAGGCCCATATTTTTAATCCTTGAGTTTCTTGTTCTAATAGTTAAAAAAACCCGGAAACAAACAAAAGAAATGACAACAACAACAACAACAAAACTCATTAATACCCCCACTTTTAAGCTTGTAGCTGCTTTTAAGTTCTGTAGCCTTGGCATAGCCTGCCTCTGGAATGCAGAAGAACAAGGTGAGGAAAGTTTTACATAAGCACATATCTCCTGTAAAATGAGGATGTGGTTCTTGCTATACCTTTTGTCCGTGTAAATAGTTGCTTGGCACAATAAAAATAGTGACACTTTTTATAGAGGAAAGTATGCTTTAAGGATTTCTTTTGTATCCACTGGTTCCTGTAATCAGGTGTTTCTAATTGTAAGATCCTTAAAAAGGTGAACTTATTATTTGGGCTTTCCTGTATTAACCCAAAAACAGCAAAGAGAAAAGGCAAGCCATATCCTGGTAGTTGTGTTATTTATTTCCTTAATTAAAGGGTGGAAATCTTGCTTTAATGTAGGGATGTCCCTAAAGTGAATGTTTAATATGAGATGAGCCAAATTTTGTCTAATAAAAAATACTTGGTACGTGGCATTAGAAGAAGCATTGATACACATCACCTGAACGTTTGTCAGACAGTTGCATGAAAAACTCCCCTTGCTGAATGTGGTACAGATATTCTCCTAATGCAAAAGGTTTGTGGGCTGGATTCTTGCTGTGTTGGGTTCTCTGAACTGAAATCATCTGGCTTGATAGGCAAGCAGACCTTTTGAGGTCAATGGGACTAATCAAATGCTTAACTTTAAGGATGTGGTTTAGTACTTTGCTGTTTGCAACTAACCCCAAATAGGATTAAGTCAAGCATGAGGAGATACCTGTGTTCACACTCAGTGTCTGCATGATTTTGGAATGAGACAATGACAGCACACATATTGTGTGTGAAATAAAAGTATGTGCTTTCAAAGCAATAGTTTTAGTTATGTTGCCATGGGGGTGAGGGCAATAAGGAGTATATGCCATGTTATTTTTGTTAAAAAAGAGGTTGGTTTGTCAAGAATTCAGCTTTACACGGCCTGATCTGATCAGTGACCAAGAGATCTGGTGTTCTAATCTTTACGGATACTGAGTGGATACTGATACTCATTATGGATAATGAGTGGCATTGGACAAGTCATTTAACCTCACTGTGCCTTGTTCAGCAGATCACTCTTTCAATCTGGTTCAAACTGATACAGCTATGTGAACATTATTGAATTTGTGAATTTGTGTTTGTAGAGCTCGTAGGAGATAAATAGTAACCATTGTTATTATAAATAAGTATGTTGTGTAGACAAATCGTGAGGAATGGTGATACAGGCACTCTTGGGGGTGATCTTTCACAACTTGCTTGTGCCTTTGTTTAATTCCATCACTCAAAAGTAGCAAGACCAACTCCAATTTACAGAAGTATTTCTCATGTCACTCTCCCCCTTTTGAGTATTTTATTGTTTGTGTTCTCCCTCTGTTTCTTTGCTACTTTGCTCCATGCTGAGTTAACCTTGCATACCAAACTTTATTCCTTTTTTTTTTTTTTTTGCATTATACAGCAGAGGCATTTGTGTAACCTCCAAATTACAGAGAGCAAATTCATTTTGTCTAGTGATTGTTTGCTGATGATGTATGAAACAGACAGAAGACAGTTTGAATTTTCATAAGTTCAATTGAGCTTGCAGGCATAAGGAAAGGAAGGGGCAGAACCCAAGCCAAAGTGACACAGTGAGCTGGCATCCCAGAGTGCAGGCTGCATGTGTAGCGTCAGGATGTCAGGGCTGGGAAGGCCTTCGTCCATCACAGCTATGCTTTTAGATGAAGGAAGAGTTTTGAAGCAACAAACGAGCACTACATGCACTACCATGTTCTTTTCAGTGCAAGAATCCTCATGATTCTTGATGGATCTGGGACCTGACCTTTCCTCCTATAACTTGATGTTTTAGCTAGAATTTCAGGTGGGCTAAGATGGGCTTTGAGTCTATTCTCAGTTCCTGGTCCTCCAACAGAATGCAGAATCTCGTGAGTTTAAGCCTTTTTTTTTTTTTTTTTTTTTTTTTTATGCAGATATTGGGGTGTAGAAGCTGTGCTGCAAATGTGAAATGAGTATGGAAGTGTGCTTGCTTTGAACAAAGCAGAATGTCTTGGGGCCAACTATCCCTGAGGAATAGCATTAGCACTAACAAAGAGAATTAATTTTGCCTTTTCCCCTTCCTTTACCACGGCATTAATCCAGAAACTCATGGGGATAAATTCTGCCCTGATTTCTACCTGTGAAACCTCAGTGGAAATGTGGAGAGGTCAAAAATGTTTGTCAAGGCAGAAATTGTCCTAGCCTTAAAATTGTGAAGAAAGCAGAAACTGGTTGATTGTTATCTGGTCCAGGGGCAAGAGGATGTGTAGGAGCCTACCTGGCATTATATACTTCTGAAAGTGTGGATTTTGTTGTACCTTAATGAGAATCTACTAAAAAAAATAAAAATCCATTGAGTGAAAATTTATAATCAAGAGCACAGTGATTAATTGTTCTTCATGTCCATTGGGAGAAAGACCTAAAGAAATCAGTTCAATGAGCAGTGAAAATTACCAAGTTAGATATTAGGAGCCCTATGTTCTGCCTGTAGGGGTTGTAAAGTGCTGGAACACATAACCTATAGGTACTATGGAAGCAGGGGAGGGCTTTTTTTTAAGGAATGGCTTGGAAAACTACCTCCCAGAGCGTGCTGGAACTTCCCATAAGACAGAAAACCAAGCTGGATGGGTTCTGTTACTCCCTGGCATTTATCTGGTTCAGTGTACCGTTTGGGAATGTTGGTATGTGGCAAGTACATTCCTGATTAATAAAGCCTAATGTTCCCAAAAGATCTCCAGGGTTCTCATTTTTCCATCCTCTCATAACTGGAAAGCACACTGTGTCTTCAAAGATTTCATTGAGCTGCCAGCATTTTGCTTTGACCCTTCTTTTTTTAGAGAAGGATAGAGGAGGGAGTCATATAGACACAGAAAGACATTTTCAGTCGTGGTGAGTCTGCAAGGGTTTCTTTCCAGTCAGTGCACAAATACTGATTTGTTTCAGTTACTGGTTTTTAAAATTTGGATTAATGGAGACACTCCAGGTATTGCCTGATACAAGCTCCTCTGATAAAGCACATG